GAACATTAGCGTTCTGGATCAGCCTTTGGAGCAGTTTTGGGGCTAACCACAGATACCCACTGTCTCTTTCTCGGGGTGGATTGGAAATCTTATTGGAGAGTACATGTTCACCTTCGTAAGAATTTGCTTAGCCCCTCAATACACACATCAGGCCCCAAGCGTGACACGAACACTCTAGCAACGCGCAGACATTTTTTGGAGAGAATGAGTTGCGGCTTATTCATATGTAAATATCACAGTTAAGACTATTTTCAGTGGGGGGCCAGTAGCCCCTATCTTAATTTTGGTTGCCCCTGTCTGCCTGACATCTCGTGTCCGGGTTTCTGCCGCCATGAAACCCGGACACCGCATTTAAACCCCGGATTGTCAGGGTGAAAAAAAAACCTGCATTGTCTGCAGCCTTTTTGGTACAAATCTTGTTTCAGACTGCCCATGCCTGCACATTAACATCCCATAGACTTCAATGGGCAGGCAAGGGCAGCCAGAAACGTGATTTTTTTTTACCAACCGGGTAGCAGGCAACGCAGGAAGCCCTGGCTACCAGAGGCGATAAGTACAGACCTAAAAGGGAGGGGCCCAGCTGTGTGTATTACAGGGGTGGGCGGATTTCTTTTACAAAGGTGAACATATATTTTAAAGTCTATGTAAACTAAATCTCACATAAGCTATTATTTCAAAATGCATCTTCAATATTCTTAAATGTGCAGATTTCCGTAAAAAAAACGCATAGTGACCCTGCCATGAAGATCCTTGTGTAAGCACTTCCTTTTAGGGCTTGTTCACACCAAGCGCGTTCCAGGAGCAGAGCAGTTACCGACCGACTCAAAACTGCTTCCAATGTATTCCAATGGTATTTTGGGCTCTAGTTCACACCACAGCGTTCAGTTCCAGAGCATGTAAAAAAAAAACTGCAGCAAGCCCTATTTTACCAGCTCTGGAAAGCATGCAAACGCATTAAACGCACGCAAAAGCCCCGGAACGCACTGAAAGCCCATTCTGAACCAAAAACGGCCTGGAACGCATGAAAAACGCAGTATAACACACTGCACGTGCAGAAACTCATGCAGATCTGTTCTGCATTTGGTGTGAACAAGCCCTTGGGTGGCATGAGCTCTAACCCCCATCTGCCAATCACTGGGCTTATGGTGGAGGCAAACAAAAAGTTATGCATGCATGTTCCACCATTGTCATCAGGAACCGGCTCTGAGAAATGCCATGCGGCCATCGCAGGAATGCAGGGAGAGGCTGCAGGAGAAAAGAAGCACTTAGATGCAACAAATTATGAAATAAAGGTGAAAAAAAACTATTTTATAAAAAAAAAAGCCAGTTGTTTCTAATACACAGTGCTTTAGCACACTAGTAAGTCATCTAGTTGGGCTTTGCATCTACTAATAAAGCATGTGCAGGTTCACAAAGAAGTGCAAGTAAATACAAAGGAGCATAAATAAAAGCAGACTGCTGGGGTAGTTCTAAAATACAATGTGTGGGCAATGATGCCATACCTGGATTTCCCTCTAGTGTCCATTGGGGTAAAACACAGGTCACAATGTATGTGCTAATTGGTGGTTGGGTAGGAGACTCAGCCCCTTCTTCAGGTCCCCTCTGCTGCACAGGAAGTCAGCCTCAGCTTAGCTTTGATCTTCTAGGAGAGAAGACTTCCTTTTCAGCTCAGCTGTTTCAAGCCTGGAAAGTGAAGCTGGGGGGTTCCTATCCTGATGCTGCTGGCAGTGATTAACCAGAACCCCAAAGAGGTGTTTCAGCCAACTGCTTACTTGGTGTCACACCAAGCACCCAGACATGGACATTCACTGCAGCCATCGCTCCATCCTCGCTACCACGTGCGTATGTCTACCTGTTTAGTGTCCCACCAGGCCCCCAAACCTGCAGATGCAATGCTTCTGCAGCCTCCACACTACAATGCAAGTGTGTCTTCATGCTCAGTGACCCCCACTGACCACAGATTTAGAGAATCGCCCCATGTGCTGATCTCTCCGCGCAGCCCTGTAAATGCATCTGCTAGCTCAGTGTCACCCAGACTTGGGGATACAACGCAGTCTCCTATACCTCTACACAACTATGCAAGTGTATCTGCATGCTCAGTGACCCCCACAGACCCCAGATTTAGAAATTCCCCAAATCTGAGCTCTCCTCAGTGTCATGTAAATCCATTTGCTAGCTCATTGTCCTCTCAGTCACCCAGACTTAGGGATACACCGCAGTCTCCACTTCATCTACTCTACTCATTGTCCTCTCAGTCACCCAGACTTAGGGATACACCGCAGTCTCCACTTCATCTACTCTACTCATTGTCCTCTCAGTCACCCAGACTTAGGGATACACCGCAGTCTCCACTACATCTACACTACCATTCAACTGTATCTGCATGCTCAGGGGACCGCCAGGCTCCCAGATTTGGAGAATTGCCACATCCGCTGATCTCACCTCACGGCCATGTTAATGCATCTGCTAGCTCCGTGTCCCACCAGTCGGCCAGATTTGCAGGTGCACTGCATCCTCCGTTACCTACACACTACCATGCATCTGCATGCTCAGTGAAACGCCAGACCCCCAGATTTGGAGAATCCCCAAATCTGAGCTCTCCTCACAGTCATGAAAATGCATGTACTAGCTCATTGTCCTCTCAGTCACCCAGACTTAGGGATACACCACAGTCTCCACTACCTCTACACTACCATTCAACTGTATCTGCATGCTCAGTGAAATGCCAGACCCCCAAATTTAGCGATTTCCTGCAGCCTCTGCTTCCTCCCAACTACCTTACAAGTATATCTGCATGTTCAATGTCCCATCAGGCCTCAAGATTTAATCATTCAACGTGTCACTACCATCTGAGAATAACTGGAGGCTCCATCTCCTGCCAGTGCCCCAGGTTTGGGGAATCGCTGCATGCTGAGATGTCTCCCAACAGCCACGAGGGTACATCTGCACGCTCAGTGTCACCTCGGGCCCATAGACTTGCACATTCAGTGCAGCCTCTGATCTCTCCCCCCAACCATGTGAGTTCCCCTGCTTACTCCGTATCAAACCAGGCTGCTAGGCTTGGAGAACCAGTTCATCCTCTGGTCTCCATCCAAAAACTTGTAAATGCAACTGCATGCTCAAGGTCTGAACAGGCTTCCAAACTTGGAGAACCACTTCAGCCTCTACCTCCACCTATAAAGCTGGTGAGTAGACTGGTTCCTGGTGGGGTTCTGCTGTGTTCCTGGTGGGGTTCTGCTGTGTTCCTGGTGGGGTTCTGCTGTGTTCCTGGTGGGGTTCTGCTGTGCTCCTGGTGGGGTTCTTCTGTGTTCCTGGTGGGGCTGAGTTTCCCTAACCTCACCTTTTGCTATAGCAGCTCACCCCACTAGAGCAGCAGGAACATCTTGGGTTGATCTGACATCAGAATTTCTGTCTTTAAGTACACCTCTGCCCAGACTATGATGATTAAAGTGACCCTGCCATGAATTTAGATAGTTGCAGGTAAAAGTACAGAAAATCAAGTATTTTGAATGCTAAGATTTCCGTAAATTCTCTTTTATTACTTTGCAATGTGCCTCTAAGCATGCTAGAAAATGTGGTGATTCCAGGAGAGTCAAATCTCTTTGGCAGTGTCTGACTACTCTATGCTGACCCAGCTCCTCCACCCATCTCCTCACCTCCCTACATGTAGCTGCTGCAGGAGGTTGATCGTCCTAGTCATGACTCCAAGAGGCACTACCGGCCCCTTCTTTGCTCCTGTCCATTCACAGAACACTTTGGATTTTGTGAACGGATTCACAGGATATAAAAGATTCTGTGATTGGGCAAGAGGAGGGACAAGCAAAAGACGTGGTGGCTCCTGTGTAGGAGACCAGAAAATCTGGAGCAAGCTTGAGCAACCTGTGGACTCCAGCTGTTGTGGAGTTACCAGAAGGTCTAGTGCAGGCTTGGACAACTTGGGGACTCCAGTTGTGGAGCTACCAGAAGGTCTAGTGAAGGCTTGGACAACCTATGGACTCCAGTTGTGGAGCTACCAGAAGGTCTAGTGAAGGCTTGGACAACCTATGGACTCCAGTTGTGGAGCTACCAGAAGGTCTAGTGAAGGCTTGGACAACCTATGGACTCCAGCTGTTATGGAGCTACTAGAAGGTCTAGTGCAAGCTTGGACAACCTATGGACTCCAGCTGTTTTGGACCCACTAGGTCTAGTAAAGGCTTGGGCAACCTGGGGACTTCAGCTGTTCTGGACCTACTAGAAGGTCTAGTGAAGGCTTTGACAACCTGGGGACTCTGGCTGTTGGGGAGCTACAAGTTCTATGATGCATTGCAAGACTGATAGTCCTATTCATGACTTCCAGAGACAGAGGCGTGTTGGAATTTGTAGATTCACCACAGCGTGAGTGCCAAGGTTGTCTACCTATGTTCTAGTGTGTCCGAGGACCGAAAATAAAGCAGTAGCTATTGATGCTTAATGTGAGAGCTCCAGGGGGTGGCATACACCTCATTGCCCGTGACTCCTTGTATGCCAGCAGATGTTTAATCCTTTTTTTTTCCCCTGTAGTTCTTCTTTAACTGATACATTATGGAATTATATGCTTGTGTTTGGACTAAGCCAGGGGTGGACAAAGTAATCTGGATTCCTAGGAGCCAGTCTGTCCAATCCAGGAGCCAGCATATGTTTAGAAGCCAACTCAATTGGCATAAACCAGAGGAAACCTCAAACGGGCTCCAACTGTCATTTTTAGGGAGTACTGGCTCCTAGGATTTGTCCAGCACTTAAGTTTTTATATGGATACGTTGATGGTAGAGATTTTTTGCATCAAAGGGAGTACATGTAGACTGAAGGAGGCTGCAAAGAAGCCGCAGGAGATCAGCAGTGCTGATTTACAGCAATGGATGGGTTAAAAAAATTAAAAACTGTATTTTATTTAACATGCAAAAGACAGTTGTTTTATGATGAAGAAAATGTCATGCAGTTCTGCGTTCTTTAACCTTGAGCTCCTTGTATCTGTCTCCCGGCAGGCTGACCATTCTTCAATTACTGTGCGGAAAAGACGGGATTCCTTCGGAATGTTTGACGGGTATGATAGCTGCAGTGAGGACACCAGCAGCAGCTCCAGCTCTGATGAGAGTGAAGAGGAGGTGGCCCCACTACAGTCCAGCCTCCCCATTATAAAAAACAATGGGCAGGTGTACACTTATCCTGATGGGAAATCTGGAATGGGTGAGTGCCAAGGTCCACATTCACCAAAAGTATGTTACCTTTTTTTTCCCTGCAGGTTTGAAAATGAAAGGAGGTGCCGGATTGGCTGCTGGAGGAGAGACCCGATTTTTTTTTTTTTCATTTGATTTTGTTTTTTAAATTTGCTTCCTACGGTGAACCTGTTTTTAGTGCAGTTAAAGCTTGCCTCCCTAAAAGCCCAAAATCCCTACCACCCCTTCCTCCGAACTCCCTCTAACCTATCATGCCAGGAGTTTTTTTTTCTTTCTGATGAAGCAAATTATAGTCACCCGAGTCCCCCTCATCCAGGTTCCTCGTCGATTCTGTTTCTGCTGACGGGGACCGCTAACCCAGTGCCGCAAAGTAACCCATGCCAGCCGGTCCTCTTTACTACCTTGGGGTCAACTTCAGTAGTTTTCTGGATCTTGGGAGGACCCCTCCAGTGGGCAGCCAATGGAAACTGCCTGGGTCCCACAGGCAGTGACGTGAATACCCGAAAGATGGACCCCGGCAGGAAATGTACAGAGAGGAGAAGGACTCCAACGCTGGACGATCACAGGATGTTTAACCCAGCAATTAGTGAGTGGTGGGGGAGAAGAGATAGGAAGGTTTTAACTCCATCCTGGAGTTGGAATTTAAAGGAGAAATTTAGGGTGAATATAAAACTATAAATTAATATTGACTCCCAATGTTGTCACTTGCCGGCTCGAAGACCAAGAGCTGAAGGAGCATGTGACCGCTGATCAGTCGGCTCTCAATGTCTGCTTCCAGTGGAGGGTGACTCGCCCCTCTGCATGGATTCCCTCCTCACCTCTCCAGTGCTGGGTGGAGCTACAAAGGTACAGGTGCGGTCGGCTTGGGCAAGGATAATTGCCAATTAGGCAGCCTGACAATATTGTCGGGATCCTTCTCGATCACGGCCCAGTAGCGGGCAATGCACAGTCAACTGGTAGCAGGTATTAGCCCACTATTGGCTGACTTTGGGTCTCAGGAGTGCATTAGTAAATGTACTCCTGCGACCCAAAAGAGATGTATAGCCAAAAAAGGATTAGCTATACGTCTCATTTAAAGTTTTTTTTGTTTTTTTTTTGTTAACCATTGCCATAGAGTAGGCAATGGTTAAAGCATATCTAAATCCAAGAACACACATGTAATCTCTTGCTTACCAGTTCTTAGATCTGGTGGCTGCATTCATTTTTTCTTTCCATTCTTCGTTTCTTTTTTTTCACCTAGTGATCCTGCCAGTAACATATCTCTGCCCTAGGGTGACCACGCTCATTCACTGTACTTTAATTATGGAGGAGCAGCGTTGTCACTAATCGAACAGAGCGACAAAATGCCTTCTCCATAAATTGAGGGGAGGTGTTCTATAGTCAACAGATAGAGCTGGGAACAATGTACCTGATAAGACTGTAGGACATGTAACAAGCCCAGGTAGTTATTGACTCACAAGATTTCGGGCAGGATCAACAGGTATTGTTGTGCATCATACAGATCTAACGCAATGCTTCCCAAAAGGGAGCATAAGGCAAACTCATTGCTGAGGTTTCCATACGACTCAAAGCCCTCCTACAGGTTTTTATTTGTCATCTCTGCCAATTGGGGAGATTTCCCTTCACTTCCTGTCACAAAGACTCAACAGGAAGCATTAGGGCAATCCTCTCTTAGTTGTCACTGCAATTTTCTGACTCTGGAGCAAGAGCCTCACATGACCATGAATTTAGGCAAGTATTTTGGACATTTAGAACATTTTTTATTTTTAATACAGCAACCTAGCTATTCGTGTGTGTTTGGGGAGCAAGGGGAAGAAGAGTGCCCAGAGCTCAGCTTTATCTGATTGCCTCGACTTTTGGCAAAACCCAGGCTTACCCCCTCATCTTCTAGCTTTCAACAAGGCATTCCCCTTTCTTCAATCGGTCCCGAAGCCTAAAATAAAGAGTGCACAATGGTTGTCCTAGCAATTCAACATATTTATTTATAAGGTGATCTTGGACCTTAATGCAGTTTTTTCTTTTCCTTTTTACAGCAACCTGTGAAATGTGCGGAATGGTCGGGGTCAGGGATGCGTTTTACTCGAAGACCAAGCGATTCTGTAGCGTCTCCTGCTCGCGAAGCTATTCCTCAAACTCTAAGAAGGCAAGCATCCTGGCGAGGCTACAGGTAGCAGGCTGAAACACCCTTGCTTATCACATCTACTTGGTTTAGGGTTTGTATAGATGAACAGGGCTTCATTGCCCTTTACGACGAACCACCGTCATTTCACCGCTATGTGACCGCATGTCTGTGCACAGGTATACGCCTGGATAAAAAGCACACACAACCACATCTACCAATTGTCCCCGGGTAAAAATGAAATCCCATTATAAAGCATGCTGATCCCATACAGTTGGGTTGACCGTGGTTCAGTTGCTGGTCAGTGCGGGGTACACTGGTACATGATAACCACACACCGGTATATGGTAACCACACCCACTTCTACTTCTATACAAACCCTTAAAGGGGTTTTCCACTCTGGTCTTAAAGTGGGCTTTAGTCAGCCCCTTTAAGCGGCCCTAGAACCTGCTGATTACATTGTTGCAGATTTTTCTTTTAACCCAAAAGTGGAATTCCCCTTTTAATACCAAAGCACTGTGTATTGAGTGTAGCACTATAGCCAGTTAGCACTGCTATGGAGTGTGTCTGTGTTGGTAGAGGGTGATTGGTTTGTCACAGCACACTTATGGGTTCCATGTATGTCTGTGTGAATTTGGGAGCTCCCACAGCTGTCAGATTGTTGGCGGATGTCTGACTTGTTAAATTGCACCTGTAGCTTTGTATAAAACAATATGCTGTAAATGAGGGCAGTACAAGAGGTTGGCTTTAATCTAGATGTGTGATGTTTTTCACTTGCATTCTCTCCCTATCAAAGCAGAATTGTAAGTTCAATGTCGGGCTGTAAGGCTACCGAGGAGGGTGACCTGTCTGAGCTGGGGGCTGATAACGGGCATGGTCTCTAAGGCTCCCGAGGAGGGTGACCTGCCTCCTGTCTGAGCTGGGGGCTGATAACGGACATGGTCTCTGGGCTTCTCAAGGATGGTAAAGCCTTCGGTTTTGTTTCATGAAATGAAGTCCTTAGAGTCCGTAACATACAGGTGTACAGGTACTCTTAAAAACTAGACCACACAGGGACTCATACATACGCATGCACGCACAACACACACACAGACACGCAAAGGTTGAAGTTGATGGACCTGTGTCTTTATTCAACCTCAAATACTATGTAACTATTAGCACCTACCTTTTGTTGTTGTATTTTTGGCCTGATGAGCTCAGGGGAAGATAGTACAGGCTGAAACTTCTGTTCTGGGAGGGAGAGAATACAAGCATAGAACACAAATAAAGTAATCCCTGAGTGGTAAGGATGTGTTATTTTATCAGTTCAACAGCAGACATCCTGATTCTGTTTTAAACAGGGCATTTCCAAAATACAGAAAAGCATTCATACCTGGAAAAAGTGCCTCTTGTACTCCCTCCATGACCGCATATTGTTGACAGATACAGGTGCTCTTTAAAGAGACACTGTCAGGGTACATGCTCAGGGCAAACTGCCTTGTGTGAAAAGGCCTCTCCTCACCTGACCCACTGATAGTCCCGTCTTCAGCGATCACTGCAGCTCATTCCTCTACCTCCACCAGCAAAAGTACCTGGTGCAACTTGGTATGGGAGAGCATGTGACCTCCTCAGTGACAGTATGTACAAGGAGGCCATTCTATGCGACAAAACAGTCACACGAGGGAGCGGCGTCACTGTTACCGAGTATTTTGGTGCTGGCTGTGATGGAAGAAGGATCAGCAGGGGATCACAGGATAGATAAGTATCAGTGGGGGGCCGGGGGTCGTTTTCACAGACCCTGTCACTTTGCTCTGAATTAACACAGTGATGCTGTCTCTTTAAAGTCAACCTATCAGATGTATGTTAGTATATAAAGCTACATTACAGTTTAATACAGAGCTGCTGCAAATGATTTTTCTGACCTTGTCCTGGACACACTGAGCACAGTGAAGGCCTTGACCTGTCTGACACGGACCTGCGTTCTGCCATTTAACAGACCTATATCGGCACTAGAGGCTCTGGTATTGGATTGCTGAATGGTTTGGGTAGGGGTCAGGCCCAAACTTTGACGAATCAGGTTATACACTTTAAACATTATGTCCAAGATGGAGGTTCACCAAAAAACGATTTAAATCATTTAAAAGTACTTTAATGCATCTCTTGACGCCTGCTTTTAAACAAATTTTGTTTCATGTACTAATCTACATCTGAGCAAAGTCCACTCCCAATCACCTATACTCCTCTCTCTCTAGCACTCCCTCACCCTTCCTACCTGCTGCCACCAAAATAATCGGTATCAAAACTTGTGACACTGCAAGGTTTGATCGCTGCATTATGGGAGGAGGTCACATGCTCCCCTATACCTTGGAAGCAGAGGTATTTTGCAGCAGCAGTGGAACACTGGTGAGGGGGGTTTAAAGTGGTCTCTTACACAGACCGTGCCGTTTTGCCACAAATGCGCGACTGGCAGTCCATGGGCAGCTTAGTTCATTTCAGCCTACCAGTGACCATTGCCGCCTTCAGCACATTTCTATTCTGATGCGTTTTCTCCCTCTTCTTCTTCTTCTTTTTTTTTTTTTAGGGTAAACCTCCCACTAAAAGAGCAAAGGTTCTCCAAAAACAGCCTCTCGTGGCTAAGTTGGCAGCTTACGCGCAGTATCAGGCTACGCTGAAGAATCAGACGTTAAGTAAAACTGGTAAGTCTTCTCTCGGTGTGCATTCCCCCTGCAAATGTGGCCCTCAGAGGTGGTCATTCGTTTTCCTTATTTTGCAGCTGTCACTGCAGAGGGATTCAGCTGGGGCAACTACATCACTAGCAGTAACCTGGTGGCGGCTCCAGTCACTTGCTTCAAACACGTGAGTGCAGTTGTTATGGCTCGTTAACGGTAACCACACTTTCTTTATTGCTCATTGGAGGAAACGTCACTGTGGAGGTTATGGGTCCTTGCCTACCGAATTACGGATGCTGGAAAGCAGGACTCCACCCCTCTGGGGTTTTCGAATGTTAGCCACTCCCAGACAGTTTTACCCTCAATGAAGACTTGTCTGATTGGATGTTATATAAATGGATTGTTCAGTAAACTCTGACACTACATCATTATAAGTTGTTTTTTTTTTTTTGGGTGGGGGGACATATATGTGAGGTCAGTTTAGTCACATGTGTTTTAAAATGAAAAAAAAATACAACCCCAGGCACATTAACTTTAAGCAGGTATGCATTCCAGAGCCACAAAAGCAACCCACTGCTGTCATACAGGCTCTTTATTCTATATCAGGTACATCTGTTAGTTTACACAGCAGGATTAGAACAGGTCCCACCCTGCTCGGATGTAACTCCAATGCTACAGTTATGGCTTTTCCTCCTGGTCATTCACAAAACACACAGGCTTTAATTTGTGAATGGCCAAGGGTAAAGGGATACCGAGACACGACCGTTGTGCTGGGGTCTATGAGACCTGTGGTGCTTGCATCCAAGCGGGTCAGACGTTGTACCAATCCCAGCCTGTAAATGAACAGATTTGCCGGATGTAGAATAAAAGCCTGCATGATAGCGGGTTTTTGTGGCAGTGAAATGTATATCTGTTGTAAGCTTATTGTGCCTGGAATTGGGCTTTAAGACTTGGATAGAATGTGGAAGGATTAGAACCCCTGTCAGATTTATATTGTTGTCTGGGTCCCCGCTGGGGAGATTCACCTTCACTTTTGGTGTTGGTGATCATTGTCTCCACTATAGAAAGTGATGGGAAAGCCAAAATGTTTTTATTAGAAAGGTAAGAGAAAATGTTCCACTTGGTAGCACTGTTCCTGTGACAACAGTCTGAAGGGATATCCTTTCACTATGGAAATATTACCTCTTCCTTCTGTGTCTCTGGGAAATAACTGGAAATCTTCTTCCCAACAGGACACAGACTGGGAGGAAAAAAAAACCACTGTTATTAACTAGGGATGCACCCATACCGTTTTTTCGGTATCGAGTACAAGTACCGATCTTTCTTCTTCGATACTTCCGGTAGCATAGAACCAGCTTCCCGGGCAATCAGGGAGCCAGGCGGTGTGTCATTACCCACCGCCCGGGTTCTTGATTGCCCGGGAAGCCGACTCCATTCTGTTTGGCCAGCTCGATGCTGATTGGCCGGGAAGCCAAACGGATCTGACAATATGGTGACACGACTCCCACCCTGCAGACACCTCATTGCCCTCACATAGATCCTTAGAAGCAGTCATTACTGTAGCAGTTCCTTGGCCAGGTGGGCAGACACTGCTCTCCCGGATCTGCCCATGTCTCCTGTGTGTACAACACCCACGTGATTGGCCCTCAGATTGCCCAGCGCTCTCATTCAGGAATCATGTGCAGTAGCAGGCTGAGGGCCGATCACATGGGCACTGTACACACAGGAGACGTGGGCAGATCCTGGAGAGCGGTGTCTGCCCAGCTGGCCAAGGGACTGCTGCTAAGGATCTATGTGAGGGGAATGATTTGTGTGCAGGAGGGGGGGGGTCGTGTCGCCATATTAGATTTGTTTGCCTGGCTCAACACTGATTGGCTTAGAAGCCGGCTTCCCAGCCAATCCGCATCGAGCTGGCCAGCATGGAGCCAGCTTCCCGACTCCATGTTCCCTCGCACCACTGCCGGTCAGAGGAAATCTCCCTCTGACCAGAAGTTCCAGTATCGGGAAAGGTATGGGAGCATTTGGACGAGTACTCGGTATCGGCACCAATACTAAGCATTTGGGGAGTTACGGGTACTTGACCAAATACTCAGTATCAGCACCGATACTAGTATTGGTGCATCCCTATTAACCATTCCTTACTCTTCTAAAACCAGTGCATTAATAACTTATTAATTATGGGCAGCTTTGCACCATAGCTGGACATCCCAGAGTCCACAATTTACATTCTATGGCCTCGTGTGCGCTAGCCTTAAAAGTCCAATAATGATCATAGAGAAAAATGTCAGAAGACTGGTGTGTATTTACATCATGTTGCAAAATGGTTGATGGTCACCCTGCTATGGTCAAGAACCTCCTAACATCCATTATCTTCCCATCACAGGCACCAATGGGCAACTGCTGGGGAGACATAGCTGAAGGTGTGAGAGTTGAAGTTCTCAACACAGATCAGAATCTGACTACAAAAGTGTTTTGGATTGCTGGAATTGTGAAACTGGCAGGTGGGTTTTTTTTCTTTAATGATATTTTCTTAATCTTCAACGTGAATAGATGGATGTTGCAGTCTGATGCTGCAGAGGCACTCAAATGCATGCATTCGAACACAGTTGCATTTGCCGTATTTTGCCTTCAGAACAAATGCATCTCTGTAGGACATATAAAGACCTATATGTTCTTATCGCTGGTTCTCTGCTTATGCTAATGTGACCCCGGATTATTAAACTCCCCCCACACTTAATATAAACTTGACCCTAATACTAGCCTCTTTGCAGCCACTTCCTGTCTACATGCATGACAGAATTGGCTGCATGGCATTTTTCAAGGCTTGGCTTTGTTGCTGATCTCCTGCCACTACCTGTATCGAACGTTTCTGGATGTATTAAATACCTGCTCCTTATCGTACGCCGGGGGTTTCTTCTGCTGACTCCTATATCCTGTAGCGAAGTAGGAACTGGATGGAGGAATCATAGCATGCTTGAAGGGAAGCCCATATGTATAATCTGCTGATATGTTCTAACTGTAAACAATCAAATCAGAAGGTTCATTTTAAACTCTAGGCACAGTGGTAGACATTTTTTGTGTGCGTCATGCTCACTGTCTAGCAAAACAAGTGAGTGTGCCATGATGCCTTTCTACTGTTTTAATGCTCACTGTCTAGTGACTGTGATCACAAACTGATAGATAAGGTGTCCACTTCCTAATTCCTTAACAACTCTTAGCAATGATCCCTTAACTGTAGCTTACCATAATGTGTCCACAGGCCCCTCCTCTCTATAATGTTCCAAATTTTAACCTGTACGTCCAGCTAGCTTTTTTTCTAAGTTTTGAATAGAGTGGGAAAGGGCTAGAACACCTGTCGGATAGTTTCTGCGATCCGGGCTCCATTGGAGAGCTTTACCCTGACTTCCTGTCATGCTAAAAACATTTTACCAGACAGGAAGTGATGGGAACTCTACAACAGCAACAACGACAGAAAACAAGTTCCTTTTCTTTCTTTTTATTGCTGTCATTGTCCCTTCACTTTGTCTGATTAAAATCGTTGTCGGCAGGACAGGAAGTAAGTTTAAATCTCTCAAATGCAGCCTCATAGCGCTAATAACCTGCCAGGACTTATAACTCTTCCCTTTTCCATCCAAAACTAGCGAAAGGCGTGTTTGTTTGTTTTTTGTTTTGTTTGACTTGCACATTAAGGGGTTAAAAACGACTAACTTTGCACCAGACCCCCGCTCCATGTGTTATATTGTTTTAATGTGCCATATGCTGTTTTGTGTCTCCAGGCTACAACGCCTTACTCCGATATGAAGGCTTTGAGAACGACACCAGCCTGGACTTCTGGTATAATATTTGTAGTAATGACGTTCACCCGGTCGGTTGGTGCGCAAGCAGCGGAAAGCCACTTGTCCCGCCTCAAAGTAAGTTTATTCTATTCTTCCACAGGATTTAGTTTTCTCCTCTGACAACCCCTTGAAACTGGCACCAGGCACATTTTATTTGAATCTAGGGCCCCTTTTACACGGGCTGATCAAGAGGGAATTCCGTGCATGGATACCCTGTTGATCAGAGCAGTACGGAGCAGATGTCACCGCTGTGACATTGTCTGTACAGTTTTTTTCGGTTAGAACTGAAACTGCTGGACCCCATGTCAGTCTATGGGGAAGCGGATATAAACGGACATGTGTCCATTTGTCCATTTACATCAGATTACCCCTGATCCGGCACGGTCAGGTCCGGTGAAACGGATCTCTGATCAGTTTGTTTTCCCGGACCAGGCCGGAGCCAGCGGACATGTGTCTGTTAACAATCAAATTACCCCCGACCCAGTATACTTGGGTCCGTCAAAAAAGATCTTTTGTTTTCCCGGACCTGGCCGCAGTCCGGGGTTAACGGGTGTAAATAGATGCTCATCCATTTACACATGGCTGCCCATAGACCAACATTGGGCATCCAAGCAGGTCCGCCTGAAAAACTGACAGACGGACCACCCGTGTGAAAGGGGCTTAAAACTAGCCATACACGGCTGCATCTCTCCTTTTCCATTTCCATCTTGTTGTTTTGGCTGAGAGAATTGTGAAGCCATTAGATTACCATTACAGACGGGTAATGAGCATTTTCAGAAGGCAATGGCATCCTCCATACTTCTCTGAACAGCTCTCCTTCAAGTAGAGCCAGCCATGTTCTCTATTGCTTTCTGCTATAGATGTACGGGCCTGCCTAGAAAGGCTGTACATGCTTGGCCCATTTGCTTTAGTTTGAAGACAACTCTGAGGCTTGGAAGATTCCTTTAAGTATGACATTTGCTGCCCTATGAGCTGCCTAATCTCAGGTTGACAACTCATACGGCCTTCTAGGTCCTGAGTGTGCATAACAGTATCCAATAGCAGAGCCTTGGGATTGAGAAGACTATAAACAAAGCGTGAGCTCAGTCGTGATTTGTTCAGTATAAGGGGGCTTAAACTGATTTTTACCTGTAAACTGTGTATATTTAACTTTGCTGTTGTAGTTTTCTTGCCTTGAGTTGTTCTTTTCCTGGGAAATAATTCTTTCTTTTGTTACAGCCATTCAACACAAATATTCAAATTGGAAAGTTTTCTTAGTCAAGCGACTAACTGGTGCCAAGACACTACCTGCAGATTTTGCTCAAAAGGTAACCAATATATATATAATTTTTTTTAATCCTCATTTCTGTGTTGCAAAGACAACCCCCTTCCTCTCCTGGTTTAATGGCTGAATGCAAAACTTTAAAGAAGACCTAATACTGTGAAAACGTTGCCCAAAAGCAGAGGGCAAAAGTCTGGTGGGGGAATATACAAGAAGCAGCAGAAGGCACAGAGTGGATGAAGCAGGAAGATCAATGCAATGCAGCTTTCTCTCCAGCAAGAAGAACAGTGAGCAGCACGGTAGTGACATCACCAAATATCGCTTCAAATCTGGTTAGATTAGCCATTTGGAGGCCGCAGTTACTATAATACAGCTTTAAAGGAGAATTATGATGCAAGTGATTTTCACGGGAGTAAACTTGGAGAGGTGGTTACTTTACAACACTCACAGGGACCATGGGGAACAAAAGTAGCCCACCTCCAGAAGGAAGGACAGTGTCAGCTCCAATTCAGAGATTTAAATTGTCACCGATTTAAAAAGAGTGGAGGGAAATCCAAACTTTTAGATTTGATCCCAGATCAAGCAGTAAGGGACAATCTTCCAATGAGGACACCTTTTCCAGAGACTGCTGTCTAAAACAAGAATTCCCTTCACCTTATGAGATTTTCTCAAACTTCCTGTTGCATCTCTAGAACAGGAAATAAATGCGTTTCCCTAATGGTACACTGACGCCAAAAAAATTAACTGCCGGGTTTTATCCCCTCTCTACACTGTCCTAAATAACAAAAATAAAAATGTTGCTACACTTTAAAAATCAATATCATATTTAATAATTACTAAAAATATTTATTTCATTTAAAAGGTGTCTGATAGTATGCAGTATCCCTTCAAGCCTTCAATGAGGGTGGAAGTAGTGGACAAAACGCACCTATGCCGGACGCGGGTAGCAGTCGTAGACAGTGTAATAGGAGGTCGGTTGCGGCTCGTGTACGAGGAGAGCGAGGACAAGACGGACGACTTCTGGTGTCACATGTACAGTCCTCTCATTCATCCTATTGGATGGTCTCGAAGCATAGGCCATCGGTTTAAGAGATCAGGTACATCAGCGTTTGGTCCTGTTTGCCATCGGCCATTATGGTTTTCATCTATTAAAACGAAACTACATAAACTACCAATGATGAAGGGTGTCCCATCTCTGGCCGCTGGCAGCATCCTTGCATATTTTTATTTTGTTCAGCCAAATGTCCGCTGCTGAGGTTTCAAGTTCTGGATTCGGAATCCTTTTCAATAAATGCACGGCATACTGTGATTGGAGGAGGTGCAGATGAATGTCAGGTTCACCCTTCCTCCAATCGCATTCACTGAAAAGAAGGCAAAGCTTTTTCTGAATGGAGGATTAAGGTACAGCAAGCAACCCACTGTACTGTCTGCACTGCAGCCAGAACTTGAAGGCTCAGTGGCGGTTGTTCAGCACCAACGGCACAGTGCTGGCTGAATAAAACTGAGAAATATAAAGGAGAACTATGAGGTGAGTGATTTCCACTCATCCTCATAGTTGGAGCCGACCTGTGACAAAGAAGCTGTCACAGGTCGGCTCTATTGATTGAGAAGTGAGCAGAAACATGCAGCCGATCCGCTCACTTCCCGATCATCTCTCTGCAGTGACTGTCAGTCACCACTCCCTGCATGGACTCCCCCCACCCCCTCTCCCATCCTCCAGCGCTGAGTGGAGGAACGAACGGGGAGGGGGTGGGCACAGCTGGCTCTGCAGAGCCAGCTGTCACACAGCTTGTTGGATCTCTACAGTATTGTCGGGATACGTCCCAGCTAGAGCTGCAGCTAACGATTATTTTCAAAATCGATTAGTTAGCCGATTATTGAGTTCGATTAATCGGATAAACAATCAAATACATTTTTAAAAATGGCTCCAGTGATGGACTACTAGTTTGTATTGAAAGGAGCAAGCTTGAAGCGGTGGAAGTAAAAAAGAAAAAAAAAGTGTGGTGTGCAATATAGTGAAATGGAAAGTGTAAAATTATACAGCAATCAAGGCAGAATGGCACCGGCTATAGAGGACTACAAATCCCAGCAATAGTACAATATACAGCGCAATGCAGAATATCACCAGCTATAGAGGAGCACAACAAATCCCAGCAATAGTACATTATAGCTGGTGGTATTCTGCATTGCGCTGTATAATGTACTGTTGCTGGGTTTTGTAGTCCTCTATAGCCAGTGGTATTCGGCAGTGCACCACTGTATAATGTATTATTGCTGGGATTTGTAGTGCTCCTCTATAGCTGGTGGAATTCCACATGGCGCTGTATAATGTATTATTGCTGGGATTTGTAGTCCTCTATACAGCGCAGTGCAGAATATCACCAACTATAGAGTACAACAAATCCCAGCAATAGTACATTATACATACAGTATATAATGTATTGCTGGGATTTGTATTCCTATGTATAATATACAGCACAGTGTACCATCAGCTATAGAGGAATAAAAATCCCAGCAATACATTATAGAGCACCATGTGGGGGGGAGTGCAGGCTTACCTGAGCAGTCTTCCAGCAACTTGCTTCTGAGATCGGGCCTGTCAATCTGCCGCTGTCATCCCCCCACACCTGCTCCTCCTTACTACATCTCCCCGCGTCCCTATGCCGATGGAGAATGTGGGCGCGCGGTGAGTGTGAGGCGGGAAGGAGGTGCGGCGTGTAAAGCGTGGATGCGGGTCTGGCAGCGTTGAGCGTGAGTTAGGGAGGAGGTGGGGCGCGCAGCGTGTGTGGAGCCGTGAACAGGGCCAACTGATCAGAAGCCGATTAATCGATTATTGAAAAAGTTGACAACTTTTTCAATAATCGATTATAATCGATTATGTCGATTAGTTGTTGCAGCCCTAGTCCCAGCTGTGGCGCTCTCAGTATGTCGCAATAGTTTGCTATTTACTGAGCTTTTTGTCACAGGAGGAGGTTAGTATTTGTCCTCTAGTGACCCTAAAGAGAACTATGGGGAAAAACACTTACCCCATAGTTCTCTTTTTAAGAACGTTGAGGTCACAGATGTGGCACACCATCAATGGTAATTTATTTTTACTGTGCAACTATAGTAAAAAAAAAATCGCTTTTTGTCCAGAGTTCAGCTGCAAATCCAAATCTGTGATCAACCCATGAAATGCATGTACTGAGCTGTTCTACCCAAAAAAAGTCCATATTTGGAATTCTGTTTTGTATATAACACACCCCTGCCACACTGTATAGCCAAGCAGTGGCTGTATAGTCAAAGGTGGGTGACGCTGCTATTCAGAGCGTGTAGCACTATGTCTTCCTGTGTCACTTTTCTTTCTTCCAGCCTGCTTATTGAGCTTTGACGTTCCAAAACTGAATAAAGGTTAGAATAAAACTCTCTTGTTTTTTTTATTTTTGTAGACATCTTAAAGAAGAATGAATCTCACTTTAATGCGCCTTCACACTTATTTTCAAAGGTAAAAATTCATATTACACCTTTTTTTTTTTTTATTACGCTATTTAATGAGCCTCTATATCCTGATGTGATGTGCATCATTTATTGAGTACTGCTTGTGTTGGCAAATTATCAGATTCAGACATTAGTGTTCCATTTGTGGTTTGACAGTGAAGGGTATAGCACCTGACTGCCACCAGCCAGATCTCGGTACACCTCAAAGCTATGATTACATGTTTAAGCTGGACTCCGGTTTTCCCTTCAGTCTTGCACAGTTGCACTGGCTCCTCTTCTGGACTGAGTTCACTTACTCTGATATCACTGCACACAGAGTTTCTCACAATGTGCATTAGAAGCTGCAGCAGTGATCAGTGATGGTCATTGAGACTAAAATATGGTATGCAATGAAAATGGAAAGGTTTTATGTACTAGTGTTAGTAGCAAGACAGGAAGTGAGGCGCAGGGAGCAAGTCACCTAATCCTCATACTCAGAAGTACCAGGGTTTTCACTTCGCTATGATTTTGCCCGTAGTTCCTCTTTAAATGAATTGGTGTTATTTGTTTCCATTAGGTCAAAGACGTTGACCAAAACTCTGAGTGGTTCAAGGAAGGGATGAAACTGGAAGCGATCGATCCACTAAACCTCTCTGCGATATGTGTGGCCACCATTAGAAAGGTGATTCTTCTTCTGTTGTCTCTTGTTGATTGGCTTTCATTTAGGTATCGCTACACACTATATTGTAGGTTACTCACAATCCACTAGATCCTTGGTTCTCAACTGGTGGGTTGTGACCCAAAAGTGGGTCGAGAACCCATGTTCAGTGGGTCACAACCCCATGTTCAGTGGGTCGCCCCAGAGACTCCTCAGCCTCCACCCTAGCGCAGCACCATCAGTTCTTGTGCCGAGCAGCCATTCAAAATAGGCTGCCCTGCCCTGCATGTCCAGCATGAGGTGGGGTGGGCTGGAAGTATGGCCAAAAGGGAGCTCCATCCATATATCATCACTTACTCCTCCCGCAAGGGAGCTGTACAAACAATGCACATATGGATGGAGCTCCGTCACAGCACAGCAGCCCACCGGACCCCAGGCTGAGGATCCACTCCAGTTCTCATAAGGTAGGGATACTGGGTGGATCTGAATATATATATATATCTATATAGATATAGATCTATATAGATATATTTAATTTATTAAATTTTTTTTGTGTGAGAATGTGTATCTGTGTTTTTGAGGGTCCGTTCACACTAGTACAGTGTGTTAATGACACAGTCCCATGCGATTAATGCACTGCACCACGCAACCACACCTGCTGCGTGTTGTGGTGTGGAAGGTGCCTTGCGTTGCCATTAATTTGAATGACACCCCAAACGAACCTCCCACCCACAGTCCAATGGCCTGCACCTGAATGCCCAGTACGGCAGTGCCTGCAATGCCAGGCATTCCATTGCAGTGCGACCTAATGACCGAGGACAAATGTGGGTCCTGAGGTTACACAGGTTGAGAACCACTGCACTAGATTACACCATGCAATTTTCCCGATTCAAACAAACTAACGCATTTCTTTCCTGTGCATGTTCAGGTGTTAGCGGAGGGCTACCTGATGATTGGGATCGATGGGTCAGAAGCAGCGGATGGTTCCGACTGGTTTTGTTATCACGCTTTATCACCCTCGATATTCCCTGTTGGCTTCTGTGAAATTAACAAGATTGAACTAACTCCGCCACGAGGTGAGGTTACTTGTCAGTTATCAAACGTTTTATACAGCGTGCCCTCAGCGTGACACAGGTTTTGGTCCCCGTAATGGAATATAAGCTTTTCATGCCCTGCTCAGTGCAAGTTGCTGTACTCAGAAGGCAGTTGGGATTATGGGAAGAGGCACTCGGTTTGTGAGGGTGTCTGCCACTGAATGCTTCTTGGCTGCCTTCCAATTGCAGTGGTCTGTGCACCACTGAGCAGACCAATATCAGCTGGATACAGGCTGAAGTGAGTTGAGAATCTTTTTATATATTGCATGTTACCTGAAAGCCGTGTAGTTCTCGATACCAGAGGATTGATTTGTATCTGCTTTACAGGATATACAAAACTACCTTTCAAATGGTTCGACTACCTCAGGGAAACTGGATCCATAGCTGCTCCTGTGAAGCTTTTCAACAAGGTAATGTGAAGCTAGTTCGTGATACTTTTAAGTATGAGTAACATTTATATAAACCCAAAAACAAAAATGTAGCCTATTGCAACTTGTCCTTCGATGAGACGTCTGAATTAGGTTTCTTTTTCTCAGGCTTTTTTTTTTTTTTTAAAGCGGACCTTTACCCTCAAAAATCAGATTCTACCAATGTATCCCTCTATGTATGATGATTATAATAACATAGACATGTCAGGTGTAAAATGCTGCGATTATTAAATACTTACACTTGCAGAGCATTCACTTCCTGCTTTAAAAATGCAAATTACTTCAGTTTGCCAAAGCAACGCTCACTGGGATTGCCTTCTCATCAGCAGAGCATTGCTGGGAAATCTCATCTGCAATCTCATGAGATCTTGGGGAAAGGCATTTTCCTTCCCTGTGCATGGTCCCATGTACTAGTCACATGTGCCAGTAATCCAGGAAGTAATAGATCTAGTAACGTGCCCTTAGTAAACATGGCCACTGTCAGATGACTGGGGAAGAAAAGAGAAATAAGGAGCAAAGAATACAATGCCGGCAATTATCTACACGTATCTGTCTGCAGTTTGTAATTACTGAACATTTCTAAAGGTGTGTTTGTTGTTATTTAAAAGATATGGGTAAAGGTCCGCTTTAACTTTATTTTCACATGTTAATGCTGCAAAGAACACACTTCCTGTCCCTTCATATTTATTTTCCCATGGTATCTATGTGAGGTTGTCACACAGGCTGGACTTCAAACATGTCTGCCTTATGTCCAGTACATGGTAAATTGATGGGACTGGTATACAAATGAGATCATTTTGTTCATGCCGTCTTTCTTTTTGGTCCATTGAGGGACACAGCAAGCCTTTACTGTCAGGTTATACTGCCACCTACAAGAGGATTGGGCACTGCCAAACAAACTTTAGGCTGGCCCAGGAGAACCCCCTGCTACTACCAGCATGCCTCGGTTTTGGTTTTTTTTGCTAGTGTCCTAAGAGCATGAATGTCTTTTCTACAGTTATGCTACTGTTAAGACCTATTATTTTGTTAGCATTACTTTCTTTTTAATTTTTTTTCTTGAATCAATACTCTTCTCTACATTGCTGCTAGAGGGTTTGATCAGTGGCCTTCAGGCGCAGTCGCCTACAGCCTGACTTTTGGAGTACCGTAGCAGGATCGTGCTGGGCCAGCTATTGTAGGACTAACTTGAAAGTGATCTTTAGGCACTGTGGTTGGCGTAAAGTTCTTTCCAGAATCTGTGCCGGTAAAAAGTTATTTGCAGAGTGCTTTCTAGGTCCAGAGTCACTGGCATTGCTTCAGCTCCTGAAGACCCACTCAGTGAGTAGGCTGGCTGAATAAAAACATATTGGCTATTCCTGCGACTCTTACTTTGATAAATAGAAATCAACTCTAACTACCAAACATCGTCGGCACTCTTGCTTTTGACCATTTGTTTTTCATCAGAGGATATTGATGGCATAGACAGCCAGACAGCTTGCATTTATAAAAGGTTGACTGGGGCTGCCTGTAGATCAGTCATTGTACATTTTTTTTCTTTTTACTTCTGTTAGCTGTGATTTCCTTTTCCTCATGTTAGCACTGATTTTAAAGTTTTTCCCTTTTTGATGGTTTTTATAAACAAATGCGTTGCCTTTTCCTTCTCCAGGAAGTCCCCAATCACGGCTTCCGCGTCCGGATGAAGCTTGAAGCTGTGGACCTCATGGAGCCTCGCCTGGTGTGTGTAGCCACAGTCACACGCATCATACACAGGCTTCTAAGGATTCATTTTGATGGCTGGGAAGACGAGTATGATCAGTGGGTGGACTGTGAATCTTCAGACCTCTATCCCGTTGGATGGTGTCAGTTAACGGGATACCAACTACAGCCTCCAGCACCACAATGTAAGTTTAAAAAAAAAAGCCTAATTTTGTGGGGTGGCGGTTTTCCCAAATGGTCAATGATGCAATCTCTTTTAGGGCCCGTTCACGCAACATCCAGATCATCTCCAGACCAGACTGTTTCCAAACTCTAATGTATTACTATGCTATTTCTGGCCTCTGTTCACACCAGCACAGTCCGTTCTAGACCAAAAAAATACTGCATGTCCCATTTTGTCTGGTCTGGAATGCACTGGAACTGTGGGCAGGTTCACACCATTTTCCAGACCAGATCTGGTCCGGAAAATGGTGTGAACCTGCCCTTAGACCTACCAAACAGTTGTAAAGGCCTGCCTGATTTAATATATAGAGATTGAGTGGATTGTTAAAGGAGACGCTGTTACATTGGTCAGTTAGTGTTTGTGTAACCACCTACCCACTGATACTCACCCCTCCATTGCTTCCTCCTCACTTCCTTCATCTTCCCAGCCACTGCCAAAAGAGCTTAGATGAAGTGGATGCATATTAAGTCTTCCAACAATCTACTTTAGATCTACTGATGGCCACCAGGAGCTACCAAGTCCAAAAATAACTAGAGCATTTTAACTCAGATTTATGATCTTTAGAGCAGCCTGATGCTGGCAGAGGGTCACCAGGAAGTGTGAAGAGATCAACTGCTTCCTGAAGAACACCAATTTGCCATGGCTGGTTTATAGAGTTGGTCCACTTGACCTTTCTATTTCGGGTACATTCCTGCAGGTTGAATCGCCTCTTTTCCCCTTGTTACCATTAACAGTAGGCATTGAGTTTCCTCCTTGAATTAATTTAAAGGCTCTGTTCATGAAAACTGATATTTCAGTTACCCCCCTGACTGGTTCTACTGTCTCTGGGGGATTCTATTAAAGAGACTCTTTCTGAGTCTGTATGCTTACTGTGCCCATTACGAGGGGTTCACATTTTCCTTGCTGGATTTTAATTGCTTTTTATTATGGAAAATGTAATGGGATGTCCTGGAAAACACAAAGGTGGGAGCAGAATATCTGAAACGGGTACAAAGCTAGGTATTACTATGGCAGACAGACCTCACTGTTCATGAGAAGTCATGGACTGATTCAGCCCATCAGTCTTCACCTACAGCTGAAATATCCCTTGGATGCAATGACCCTTTGAAATGTGTCATGGCTGAAACATGTGAGCTGACGTTAGGGACCTCCGCTGAAAATGCAACATGCTTGGCTTTGATACTGAAATTCTTTAGCATCAATTTCCTGTTCTGCGCACATATTTCAGGTCAATGACTCCGTGTCAAATTGAATGGATCGGTATCACTACTGGGCAACTAGCATTTTCTGGAGGAGGTCAACAATGGCCCTAATATTTGACAGATTTACTTTTATTAAACCTTTACCCTTCTCAGTTGTTATAACAATAAAATCTTTATTTCGCTGCAGCAAAGGACAACCAGACCAGTGTAACCAAACAGAAGAAAAAGTCCAAGTCACAACAGTACAAAGGACACAAAAAAAGTGAGTGATGCCTTTTCATTGCAAGATCAAGTATGACCTCTGTTACATGGGATTCTGCTTTATAGGAAATTGTGATTTCTTGGAAGGGCAAAACTCGAAACTCCGTCCATAGGTTCTTTCCTTTGAGGAAACTCAAAGTGAAACCGTGGCACCCAGCAAAAGAAGACTACACACGTCTGCCTTTTCGGCGGGCGACGATTCCGCCCTTGCTCTCTTGCAGTGCTGTGGCCGCTGCTTGAATCAGACAATGCTAGTTGTGTCCAATATCATATAACCTGCTGTGTTTACACCCCTGGCATGAAGGTCACTACAGGACACTATTGGCGTAGTGGCCGCTAGGAGGAACCACAACACACAGTTGGGGGCCAATTTTGGCTATACATTAACCCCTTCATGACTGAGGCCCTTTTTTCAATTTTTGCACCCATGTTATATTCCACATTATTTAGGACCGTAAAAATGCATTCAAGTACCCTAACTAGGCAAGAAAAATGTAGTTTATTTGCGTATCTCTCAGCCATAGATCTTTTAAATCTCTGAATTGGTGCTGACACTGTCCTTCCTTCTGGAGGGGGGCTACTTTTGTTCCCCATGGTCCCTGTGTGTGTTGTAAAGTAGCCATCACTCCTGTGATTTGACTACAATCTCACATTTACTTTACTAATTTGTATTGCGATTGCAGTCCATCACAGGAATGAGCTTGGAGCGGTGACTATTGTATTGTATTGTATTGGATTCCCCACTCCGTTCCGCCAGCGCTGACTGGCAGAACGGACGGGGAGGGGGCGGGTACAGCTGGCTCTGCCTCTAGATAGGCAGAGCCAGCTGTCAGTCACGCAGCTGGGCGGATCCAGACATAATTGGGTATACTGCGAGCAGCAGCTCGCGGTATATTGCGGCGTCTCAGTGTACCGCAAGCCACAGCCCGCGGTATACTGCGGCGTCTCAGTATACCGCGAGCTACAGCTCGGGGTATACTGAGCCTAGGGTGACGTGAGGACGCTAGTTTATGTCCTCCCGTTACCCTATGGGGAAAAGCCTTAACCCCATAGTTCTCCTTTAACTTCCTATCCCAGTGAGACAACAGGAAGTTGACGCATATCTTCTCAATGAGGACATTGATGGCAGAAATATAATTTTGCCAGAGGTGCCCAGCCTTTTCTTTTCTATGAAACCTGCTTCTGATTTTGTCTCTATGCCCATTGGATGGATTCTACTTTTCCTGGATTCTACTTTTCCTGTCCATGTGACAACACGAAGCAAAGGGTAATCTCCCAAATGTGTACAAAGACCTCCATACAAAAAAAATTCTACCCACAGGAGGAAAAAAATCTAACTTTCCTGGATTTCTACCTAAACTTTTGGAGTTAATGCAACTTTGGAACCATTTGCCCTTTGAATTTTCACTGCTTCCGGTCTTAACTATTCTTGTTTTCTTTAGAAAGCAGCCACATCCTAAATAGAAAAGCCTGTCCCCTTCCAACGTGCTGCAGAGAAGGACCCTTGCCCTCTGTGGGGAAGCGGTGGTTACCATGCAAAAATTTGTGTATCTTGCAGCACTCCTTACTGGATTATTGTTGATGGCAAATGGGTGCTAGCAGTGACCACGGGGGCACCGTGAACAAAATCGGAAGTAGAAAAGGATGTCACCAACACACCAAGCTGTAGTGTTCAGCAATAGTCCATTTTAATGACCACCAATGTCCTTCAATTGCGAGTACTTTTCGGGGGGCTCGCAGGGTCCACATCATCAGGCTCAGAATGATTCAAGCCATTCTGAGCCTGATGACGGGGACCCTGCGAGGCCCCGAAAGTAGTCGCTATTGAATGACATTGGTGGTCATTAAAATGGACTATTGCTGAACACTACAGCTTAGTGTGCGGGTGACATCCTTATCTACTTGCGGTGGTTACCATTTCCCTAGAAAAATTGCAGAAAGAAAATGTCAAAGTAGCAAACTTACACACATTTTAGGAGTCATTTTTATACCCCAAGAAATATTTTTTCTTAGCAATCATCTGGGCCGTACATTGTTGTTAGAATTCTTGGGGTTATTTGTTACAGACTGAGAAATGGTCATTTAATCCCACCCCCGCATACATTTGTCTAATATATATGGGCCTCTACTTCTCCTTGAGGCTCAGGCATTTTACACTTGAATGGCAGGGGGCAGGTCTTAATGTCAGAAGGGGGACATGCTTCCTATTGAATTGGAGAGAATTTAAAAACCTGTGTACAGCTTTGACCTAGAATCAAAGGGTCCTCCGCATAGATCGACTAACACAGAAACTTGCAGCTACCATAAGATGCCTACATTTCAACACTGCTGTTACGGTGTGCACTTTTCAGGCCAGGACAGGTTCTCTTTAGAACCTCTGCTTATTAGTGAAAGATGGCAGTCTGAGGTCATTTTTAGCATTACACATTCTCACTGGAAACTATACCACTCATACCCAACGTGGATTTCCCAGGATGGAGCCATAATACAATGGAGGGATATCTTTCATGTGCTTGAGGATGTCACATGACTCCTGGGGTGTGTGGGAGGTTGGGGTGGCATGCTTTGAATGCAAACTGTATGGATTGCATGTTTTAGAATTGTTCATATTCAATTTTTCAAGTTTTTATTTTTGTTTCTTTCTGTTTAGTATCAGTGTCTGCTTATGCTGACCCTTTGGACTGATATCCTGGTGTGACTGTCCACTGGTGTTCGGTGGCAAGACACAAAAGGATTGGTTAAATGCAGGAAACTTTAATTCAGAGCTGAACTGAGAAGAAGACACTTAAAGATGACCTTTACACTCATAAATCAGATTCTACCAATGCATCCCTCTATGTATGATGATTAATAATAACATAGGCATGTCAGGTGTAAAATGCTGTGATTATGAAATACTTACACTTGCAGAGCATTCACTTCCTGCTTTGAAAGAGCAAAATTACTTCAGTTTGCCAAAATAGTGCACACTGGGATTGCCTTGTCATCAGCAGAGCCTTGCTGGGAAATCTTATCTGTAATCTCACAAGATCTCAGGGAAAGGCATTTTCCTCCCCTGAGATGATGTGCATGGTCACATGTCCTAGTCACATGTGCCAGAGTTACAGGAAGTAAAGGAGATCTAGTAACCTGCCCTTCGTTAACATGGTCACTGTCAAAAGACCGGTCACGTGGTCACACATTTGACCGTAATCACGCCCACTTTTTTGGCGGAGGGATATGTGTCCGGCAAAAGGTGAAAAATTCCAGCTGTTCCAGGGCAGATTGGTATCGCAGATGGTATGCGCAGGAGAACCGATCTGCCCTGGAACTGCTGATCGGTCCTGAAATGTCACTTCTATCCGACTTTGTGAGTGCGATCTCGCATTCCACAAAGTCAGATAAAAGTGACATTTCAGGACCGATCAGCTTTTCCAGGGCAGATCGGTTCCCCTGCACATACCATCTGCGATGCCGATCTGCCCTGGAACAGCTGAGAAATCGTTGGAATTCTGCCCAATTATCTGGAAGTATCTGTTTGTAGATTGTCATTACTAAGCATTTCTAAAAGATGTGTTTGTTGTCATTTTAAAGATCTGGGTAAAGGTCCGCTTTAAAGTAGAACTATGCTTAAATATTTCCAGAGTCTTAACAATTAGTAAACAAGCTTTTAACCGAACCTTTGTTGACCTCTTTAGCTGCAGGCAGCGTGGAGTAATTAATTCTAAAATTTTGCGTGAGAAGCAGTAAAGTCTTTCGAGCTAAGCCTCGCCACTTTGCTCTCTGCTTTTGGTCAGGGAGGGCTTGTTTTAAAGCTTACTTACTGCTTGTTAAGAATCTATAAACCTTTTAAATTCTATAATCTGGCCACAGCTCTGCTTTTTAGATACCGGTATGTATTTGGGGAGGAAATCTATATCTACTTGGGAAGAGTGTCCGAGTGAGAACGAATCCACATGTGCTGTCTATATCTATTGCTAGCTCGCTGTTGAGTATTTTTGCGTGGTGGTAATATATTAATGTGTTCACAAAGCATTCTGTTTTATTTCAGGGAAATTTATCTGCAGATGTAAGTGTAAACGTTCAGATTGTAAACCTAGTTCTCTGAAGTAATGTCTGGTGTAGGTAGAGAAGGCACCATGACTGGCCAGCACATGCCTGCTTTTTTTTTTGCTGGCACTGACCACCCACACCCCAAGCTTCCTATGCAATTCCAGGCTTTGTGTAAGTCTGGGTATAAGCACTTCCTGTGCACAAAGAAAATGATCAGTTGCCAGCACTAGGGACCAACTGAGATAGTAGGAGGGCACAATCTGTGCCCATGGAAAGTACAAAAGTGAAAGCAGATGTAGCACATGCACCCTAAGGAGAAGAGCTCGCTTTATTTCTTTCAGTTTACAAGCAGCTTACAAGTACTCTTTCCATGCAAAGGAAAAAAGAAAAACAAAAATTACGTGTTTCAAATGGGTCGAAATGTGTAACCTGTGCAGTTTTCTTGAGTGGAAATTCGTACCTGTAAGCTGCTGCTATTCTGCCCAAAATTGGGAGGTCTTGTACACATGTTGGAAGTGCTCATTGCCTTCCCTTTTATTAGCACATCCCCTTGCATCCCACATGACAATGAACAGGCCTCACGATAGGTTGCATGGTGGAGTGCGGTTTTACCTTTAGACAGTATTTGCATAGGCAGCTCTTGGGGTGCTCTGGAGGACCAGCCAGTAACAATACAGGTATGTGCTGGAACCTAAGGGTTCTTCTCTTCTACTTAAGGGTTATACACACAGCATCAGCTTATTTGATAGCAGTGTGTACAGCAAGCTTTTACAAAGCTTCAATGAACCATCAGCTCCAGTTTGTAGACTTTAAATGCAGGTCTAAATAGGACTGGCTATCGCTATAAACAAGCTGCTAGCAGGCTTCAAGTGGTATTAAAGCTTACCGGGGTCCGCTAGCAGATGTTTAAAGGGACCGTGAGCAAACCCATTTTGATCTGTGTTTACAGAAAGCACGTCACCAACTTTT